TATTATGCAACGATCATGTAATGATGGTTATTAATACACGAGCATTAACCGGGATACGAAACGAGCCAAAGGCGAGTTTCGTATGGTTTATGCGAGTGTTTTAATAACCATTACATGAGAGTTGCATACGCTATTTTTTCTACACCCGATAAATAATCAAGACCTATAAATATTCTATTTATATTGGTATTGAACACAATAACAGTAATTACTCGTATTTCTATAAAAAATTCTACAAAATTGTAATTAATGGTATTACCTTGGGTACTGGTATTACCACAGATTTTTGGGGCAAAATATTTTGTACTGCATTTTCTCCTTTCTCCGATATGTGTGGAGGAGTGTTCTATATCGCTGATATCAGACATTTTAATATTATAATTATCGAAGTTTAGCTATCTACGAAAATTTAATACGTTTTGACAACTAAAACAATTACATAGGAATTTAGGACAAACGTCAAACATCATGCTTGATTGAAAAATTGTAGTTTCTATTGATTAAAAATCTGTATCATAATGAAAAATCTGTATCATAATGGGTATCATTATGAAACGGATTTTGGGCATATAAGTGCATTATTATAATACGGGTGTAGAAAAACAATAAATTATTGTTGGGCCAGCTGACACCAGCTAAATAAAAAAAAAACATCGCGATTGTGACGAGAGGATTTTAAAAATCGATTATAATCAGAGAAATATAAACGAATATTTAAAAGCAATATTACATAATTATATTATGCATCCTTAATAAAAAAATTAAAAAAGACATTTCAAATATATTATTTTGTACCTAACAAAAATACAGTTGGCGTCGAAACGACCCGGCGTCGAAATGGCCGCGTCGAAACGTCCTAGACCGTAAATATACATATCTGTATCATAGCAATAGTTTACAAATTATAATAAAAGTTCATTGATTACAACCCAAGACTAAAATTAATTTAATTTATTAGATTAGTATTAAAATATCTTAAAATGTGTCACACAGTTACTCTAGTCAACATGCTTAATTGCTTCAAAATAATCCGTTAAATTATACAAGCACATATCAATCATAAGGGTTTTAATTTTTTGTTTATATTTTCTAACAGGGAGTATCCGTATCCCTTCTGGTAATGCATTGAAGTAATTTACACCCAGTATTTTAGATTTATTAATCCTACAACAAAGTTGGATTAATGCATCTTTCCTTCTTGTATGGTAAGAGTAGACTTGAGGTGTATTAAATAAATATGCTCTTTATATATAGTAAGTTTTCATATATTACAGCTGAGAAAATTGTCATGATTTTAAGCTGTTTGAACAGTGGGACACAGTGATTTCTAAAGACTGCTTTTGCAACAGATCGAATAGCTGCTTTTTGTAAAACAACCACCCTTTGTAAATTACTAAAAGATTTCATACAAACCAACATGCCTATCAATCAGGAAAATCTTGTGAGTCTGCTCTGCATCATCTCATAACCAAGATAGAGGGGGGACTCAGTAGCCAAGAAATAGTCCTAGGAGCATTTCTTGACATAGAAGGAGCTTTTGATAATACCTCCTTTAAATCAATGGTAGCTGCTGATCGCAAACATGGAATAGAAGAGACCATCTGCTGATGGATAGAAGACATGTTATGTGGACGGCAAGTACAGACATAAATGTTCAGTGAAACCATGCAGATGAACATCCACAGGAGATGCCCAAAGGGTGGAGTCTTTTCTCCTCTACTGTAGAACCAAGTGGCGGATGAACTGCTGAAAACACTGAACAATCAAGGGCTGTACGCCCAAGGATATGCCGATGACACAGTCATCTTTACCTGAGGGAAACTCGAACCACAGTCTTCGAACTCATGCAAAGACTAATATTAGGGAAAACCTCTTGGTAAACCCTGACAAGGTACAACTCATAACCTTTACTCGGAAAACAAGGTTGGAGGTCTTAGAAACTCCGACTCTGTTTGGAGGAAGGCTAAACAAAACGAACCAAGTAAAATATCTGGATCTAATCCTAGACAGCAAACTCACTTGGAACCAGCACTTACAAAAGTGACCAACAAATGTAAAATGTGTCTCATTGTTGGGAGACGGGCATTTGGTGGCCAAAAGTAAGCTAGAAAACAGCACTCAATATCCTCTCTTGAGTTCAGAGGCTGGCAGCCTTTGTATTACAGGAGCACTGAGAAATACACTGACAGACTCTATGGAAATCATTTTAAACCTCCCATTCCTTGACCTAGTCATAAAGGGGGAGGTCAGAATGAGTGCATACAGACTGCAAATCTCCAACAACTGGAACCCACTGGGACATATAAAAGATACCAGAATAACACATAAAGTAAATGATTCTATATTAAACATGGGATCAGATTACATGACACCCCTCCTAACCTTCAACAGACTCTTCCAGGTCAACTGCAACTGGAACGAGGTAAATAAAGAGATAGTAAATACTTGCTTAGCGGTCTCGTATGGTATTTGGATGGATCTAAAACTAACAAGGGAACAGACTCTGGGGAACATGGAGTTAGACCCATCATTTGCATTGCATTTAGATTAATAGACGGTTCAACATAAGTTTCTGAGATGCTCAGCATATAAATTAGGAGTGCGTATAAATAATTACGATTATGATTATGCTAACCTATGTTCCAGATTAGAAATCACAACTTTGCAGAACCGGAGAACTCAATTAGATCTATGCTTCCTATTCAAACTTTTGTCTGGGTCAATATATGATATTTTATTAATAGTGCAACCAGAGTTAATGAAACTTTTTTTATTAGACACCATAGACAAAATTACGGCTTTTATAGTCCATCAACACGATTGGTTAGGAGTGCTAACAGTATAGAAATAAACTTGGATTTTTTTGGTTCGTCATATCCTTTATTTAAAAGAAGTATTGCTAACCACTTTCTTAATGACACTTGAAAGTACTGTTATTGTCTGCCTTGTTAATCAAATGTTTTAATATGTTTTAATCAAATGTTTTACATGATACAATTTTTGATGTTTTTTATTTTGTATTTGTGCATATAACATATATTTTTTATTGTAAAATGAGGTTTTCCCGTAAATAAATAAATCATCTCACTGGGAAAACATACCACTGTATTTCAGGCTGAAATACAAGCAAACAATTATGTGTACGAGAGAATTTAAGAAGTACAAAAAACAAACCATCCTAATTCTCTCAGATAGCCAAGCAGCCTTAAAGGTTCTTGATTCAAACAGAATCAAGTCAAAGCTTGTCTAAGACTGCCTTGGAATACTAAATGATCTGGCAACCAACAACAATAATCAACAATAAGGTAAAACTAACGTGGGTACCAGCGCACAAAAGATCCAAGGAAATGAAAAGGAGGCTGATGAACTCGCCAAAGAGGGATCAGATCTACCATTCACAGGACCCGAACCTGTATTTGGGATAAACAAAACCTTTGCTCGACAGGCAGTGAACAGGTGAATAACCACAAAACATCAAATTCACTGTCAACAGATAAGAGGGCACAAAATCAGTAAGGCACTATAATTCGCAAGACCTCATATACTCGTATATCCACATCCACCATTGTGGGATTAATAATGGGGCACTGCTTGCTAAAACATCTTTATGTGATGGGAATTACACAATAATCCCACTACGTGTAGACTCTGCATGGAAAAGGAAGAAATCTCATACCATGCGATCTTCGAATGTGAAGCTCTTACTAGGCGACGTTTCATCCTTTTTGGCCTAGAACCGGAAAGAACGCCCCAGGAACACTTAGTAGGGAACTTATTAAAACTAACCAAAGACACAGAACTATTCCAAAGATAGTACCTGAATATGGCTAAAGCAGGGGAATACAATAGACCCAAGAGGCCGCAGTGTTATGGGCCAAACCTAACACTACCTGCGTATAACCGACAAAGATATCAGAACAAGAAATAGAAATTAAGATTTTTTCCAAAGGTATACATTTCTATCTCCTTTTCCTTTATATTTATTGCCGTTTTGCAGACTTTTATAAATGAAAATAAATTATAACGAAAGTCAGTGTAAAACGATTCGTTTTAAATACATCTTTCTATAACCTAGGATACTGTAAAAGTAAAAAAAAGTGTAAAAAACAAAAACTAATCCAACCACGATTCTAAAGAAAATTTCATAAAATTTGCAAATTATGAACAATGAATTGCAAACATTAATACGTCATCCACATAGTTATCAAATTATTATAAATATAATGACATTTTCATGTACAACTATTATGGTTCAAGTAAATTTCCAGGAAAGTACGCAATTTATTTAATTGTGGCAGCAGTGTAAAGCAAGCCTCGTAGCCGTGGTCACACATTCATTTATAAAACGTGTGCTCGTGCCCCAAATAAATATACTTGCACAAACTATCCCCACTCAAATTGATAGTCATCTCGCTCTTTCTACTTTTGAAAATCTAATAAGTTTTTCATATGAAAATAAAGACAATAAAGACCGGAAGTACTTTAAAATACATACTGAAAAAGATCTTTTAAAAATCATTGATCTATTTAATTATAAATATCTAACTTTAATTTTTCTCGTCTGCCTGGAATATTTTACCTTCATTTTCACTCTGTCAGATACTTCAATGTACCATCATTGCTAAGAATTATTATTTACCATCCAAAAAATGCAAAAATATGCGCAACTATAAACTAAATTATAACTATTTATATCTCAACCAGCTACGTCACTGGTTTTTACAACCAAACATTCTGAAATACTAAAAAAAACTTGAGAACTGATAAAAATGCCCAAGCAAATTAATTACTTGTTTCTATGTGGTAGAAATTCATCACTCTGTTTTACTGTAAACTAAATACTGGGTTTCATATTTATTTTATATTTCTTTTCTCTTTATAAATATTTAACAATGCCGCAGAACATATTTTCAACGATCTTATAAATTCAGTTAAAAGTACATTTTTTATATATTCAATTCATATTAGAACAAGTATATACGAGTCATTAGCATACTCACCAAGTAGAGTTCGGAGAACTCGAAGGCGCACGGGAATTGTACTTGAAGCTGGTGTACGCAATCCAACCACTGCAAGAACACTGGACACCGTTCGTTCTGATCGTCGCTACCTGACGAGTGACCGCATCTATCGGCAAACTTGTGACCGAAAGCCAGCCATTCTCTTTCAATTAAAATGCGAAAACCCTAAAAAGAATACTCATTTAAAATAATAAATAAAATCCGTTTCATTAAAGAAAAGTACATCACATGGAGCATTATTTGCTGCCCCCTTTTTATGATCGTAAGTCGTAAGTAATAAACTAAATTTGTTTTATTAGTAACTAGCTATTGCCCGCGGCTTTGCTCGCAACTTTGCTCGCATATAGTCGTGTTATTAATATAAAAAAATACATGACTTCCTTTTTTATTAATTTTTATGTTTTATTGATTTTAATTCATTTTTTTTTTTCATTTTTTTTTTTTCATTTTTTTTTTAATTTTTACTCATTTGTATTAATTTTTACTAATTTTTATTAATTTTTATTAATTTTTATTAATTTTCATTAATTTTTAATAATTTTTATTAATTTTTATAAATTTTTACTAACTTTTATTAATTTTTAATAATTTTTATTAATTTTTATTAATTTTTATTAATTTTTATTAATTTTTATTAATTTTTATTAATTTTTATTAAATTTTATTAATTTTTATTAATTTTTGTTAATTTTTATTAAACTTTATTTATTTTTATTAATTTTTAATAATTTTTATTAATTTTCATTAATTTTTATTAATTTTTATTAATTTTTGTTAATTTTAATTAAAGTTTATTAATTTTTATTTTTTATTAATTTTTATTAATTTTCACCCCCGTTTTCCCCCCTTTAAATGTGAAAATCCGAAAACCATGAAACACTTCAATATTTATTTATGATGAGAACCTACAATTCCAATTTTCAAGTTCCTACCTTTAAAAAAATCGATATTTCCAAATAAACTTTCACCCTCCGTTTCCCCCCCTTAAAATGTGAAAATGCAAAAACCCTAAAACATATTATTATTAATTTGTACTCAGTAGCTGCAATTCCAATTTTTATGTTTTTAACTATAAAGAGAACCAAAAACATGGATACTCCCAAATAAATTTTCACCCCCCATTTCCCCCCTTAAAATGTGAAAATCCAAAAACCCTGAAACACGTCATTAATAATTTGTAGTCAGTAGCAGCAATTCCAATTTTAATGTTTCTAACTTCATAGAGAACAAAAAAAATCGATAGTCCTTTATAAAATTTCACCCCCCGTTTCCCCCCCTTAAAATATTAAAAATCCAAAAACCCTGAAAAACGTCATTATTTATTTTTGCCCAGCAGCTGTAATTTAAATTTTCATGTTTCTAACTTTAAAGAACAAAGAGTTTCATTAAAAGCTCCCTCCCCCCAATTCCCCCCTTTAAAGTTAAAATTTCCAAAAATCCTTTCTTAGCGGATGCTTAAGTTATAAAATAAACCTATGTTCCAAATTTCAGCTTTCTAGACCTAGTAGTTTTGGCTGTACGCTGATAGGTCAGTCAGTCAGTCAGTCAGGACAAACAATTTTATATATATAGATATAAGAATCCGGGTAATTAAATGTGTAATTTAATAATTGAAATTTCGTAATATAAACTAACTTTGAACAAAATTGACATCGTTACGCCACTGCTTAAAATCAAATTTACCATACGCTGCAACACAGCTGTACTTTTACTATTGAAACGGAGTTTAAAAGCAACTACAAGCCGTCTGTCACATTGTAATGTCTCTTGCCCTTTCTGAAACTTAATGATTGGTCAGTAATTTATTTTAGTTATTTGTCATTTTCATTACCAGCACGATTGTCTCTAAGAAATGTCGAGCACTAATCGTTATATGTCACCAATCATGTTATGATATTAACAATTGTTATTTGTCATGTCAAAATTTTTAAAACAAATGAAGCGCCTGATTGGAATTTTGATTTTGTACTTAATTTATTTTGAACTAAATTTTTTAGACTCAATTTTTTTCTGTCTCACACTTCAAATTTTTTAAATCAAACTTTTAATTTTTTTATTTATATTTTTTTCTCTCATTTTTACTCTCTTTCAGTAGTCAATTTACTTAGATCCAAATTTTTTTAGGCTCAAATTTTTTTAAGTTGTCACTCATATTAATTGTATTTATGCATTCTCAAGACTTACATCCATAGTGCGATAGTATGGATCTAGCATGATCTCTGCTAGTGCCACGATTTGTGGCGTTCTGTCCCAACCGTCCGAACAATGTACCAAAACGGGTCTTGCGTCTCTTTCTACCGCTGCCACCAGAGTCACTGCGGCTTTCATAAGGCCAGACATGTGAGATAACCAACGGGTCCCTTCCAATTGGCTATACCAGCTGAAATAAAAAAAAAATGATCAGGTTTGATACTACTTTGCGATGACAGCACTTCATAATGTTATGAAAGTAAAAATAACTTACTTGGGTTGATCTCCACCTGGATAAGAGCAAAGTTGTCTTAAGGCATGAAAACTCTTTCGGATGGAATGTATATTGGCAAGATTCATAAATTGAATTTCGCAGTTAGGATAATACTCAGGACATTCACAACCTCCACCTCTGGCCCTATTGGCCACCGCTGTCGTATAGGATCTAGCATCCATAATTAAAAACTAAAAAGAAAAAATATTAAGAATGACGCAAGTGTATTAATTTAATTAAGGGCCGATCTTTTCACTTCTGAGTAAAGTTACATGTAGGTTTACTTGACAGATTAACGAACAATAGACCTATTGTTTCTGACTATAATTTGTTCTTGGTTTCCCGGACTAATGGTCTAGTGTATTTTATTAACTCTGTCGACCTGATTGGGACGACGCCGAAGACAGTGCATCTGTTGTTCTCCGTTTTTGTATCGCGGCGAGTTGTGAGACCATATAACTATTATTCTGATGTCACCTAATCGAAAATTGTTTTAAACTTTTTTAAAATGCTACCGACTTACGCCGAAGAAAACCAGATAAACTTTCGTGGTAGATAAGAAAGCATCAGATGTAATACGTTAAAAAAGAGCTATCATGTAACAAATGTTTAAGTGATAATTATTGTTTAAAATAAAATTTATAAAACTACATACAGTCCATTCTCATTAATCCAAAACAATTGTTTAATCAGCAAGTAGTTACTTTCAACTTTACTCAGAGGAGAAAATATTGGCCCTAAGCAAATTTACCTTCTTCTCGGACCCAATGACGTTGTTCGTGATTTGCAAAGATTCGTCTGAGTGGTAGGAACCAGGAGAACAGGATAAGTTGGAGGAGTCTTTGTCAACTTTGTCGACTTTTTCGAAATGCTTGAATGAACGATCGAAATTGCAGGCCTCTGATATAGCCTTTATGAGATCTTCGTCTTCCGCCGACCTCCAGCCTAGCCAACCGACCTCCGGTTGGCTGGATCGGACTATGACAGCCCCATTTCTAGAATGTCTGGAAGAAAATAGATTTAATGCTTGGTATTCTATTGAATACAAATGGAATGAGCAATAATAAAGTCAAATATGGCCAAATTTTACTATATTCGAACAATTTTTAAATGATGGCGACTCATCTTGCGGATTGCACTGTGGTCAAGCGGCAACTATGATTTTCAGAGCTTAACTTACTGGGATAATTTTATTGTTTATACTTCGTCAACGCGGAAATTTAAAAAGTTAGATTATTCCATAATATTTTCTCCTCGTACAAATATTATATCTAGCCAAGTTAGGTAAATACTTTGAATCAGCGATAAACACGTCAATACTAAGAAGATCAACTGGGAAGATTAACAAATCAGTTAGGTATTAATTCAATTAAATAACTTAGTGTCTTGGCGTGAGACAGGTATATGGTTAGTTGTAGTAGTTTTATTTTTTTATCACATTATTCTAATAAATTCGAGATAAAACGGCTTAAAATGAAACAACACTTTTACGATTTAATTACTACTACATTTTCTTAAGTTCTTTATGCGCCTATTATGTAGTGCCTTTTTTTTTATTTAATGATATTATTGGTATATAATTTGTATTTTAATCGTATAATTTGCCAATTTTTTAAGATTAATATTTTTCATTTCTTCAAAAATAATTTAATTTTGATGAAATTTGGTGAAATTATACCTTTGTGTCTTAAATAAGAAAAAAAATTAAAAAATTCAAAATATTTCCAGATATTAATTTTTTTCTATTCAAAACACTTTTTTTAAGAAATTCTACGGTGAAAAATTATACAAAGTTCTTCAGTTACTCATTTTTTTCGTTTTGTCATGTAGTTTTTGATAAAATAAAAAAATATATAGTCACGATTGAAAAACATGCTCAAAACTGGAGAAAAACAAAAAATTACAATAGCAACAATGATTTATTCCTAAACTATTGTTATAATTCGTTTCAATAAAAAAAAAAAAAAAAAAAAAAAAAAAAATACAAATTTATAGCACCATAGAATTGTATGAAAAAAACATAAAAGAAACTGTTTTTTATTTTTTGACCAGAATTCTTAATTTTCTATATATACACACATCTCTAAAAGTCTTTTTTAAAAATAATGAAATAAAATTTGGAAAATATGGTGAATCCTATTCTTTGTTTTCAAACCCAACTATGTGATACACAATCTTTGTAATTTGCTTTCCGAATAATGCAGAAAAAAGAAAATTACAAAAAAGATCCAAAAATTGTAGGTAAGAAAATTTTTATTTTGAGAAAAAATATTATATCGTAACAAAAACATAACTTAATAGTTTGTATTATGCAGGGTTACCAGGTTTTTGAAAGAAATGACGGACAGACAGGGGATTTTAGGGGAAATAGGGGGAAGTAAAAACAACTCGATCTATTTTTACTCTTTTAATCAAAATTACTTATTTTGCAAGAAATCCTTACCTAATTTTGGTAAAGATCTGAGGTGATTTTACAAATAATAAGGTGAAAATGTAAAGTTAGAAAATCGAGAAATCGCAAATCGAAATCCAAAGTCAGAAAACATTTTCACCTTATTATTTGAAACACCTCAGTCTATCTTTACCTAAAAATAGGTACGGATTTTTTACAAAATAAGTAATTTTGATTAAAAAAATGAAAATAGACAGAGTAGTTTTTACTTCCCCCTATTTCCCCTAAAATTCCCTGTCTGTCCGTCATCTCTTTCAAAAACCTGGTAACCCTGGTATTATGGCCCCTACTTTCAATCAATTGGCCAACATGTCGCGGTTTCCCGCGGATCAGGTTATCAATAAAATGATCAGGCATATTGTCCCACTCTTCTTGAACACCTACAATCAAGTGCTTAAAGGTTTTCTGTACTTGATATTGCCCTGCCAAGATAATAATAATAATAATAATAATAATTTATTTGCAGTATTACAGGTAAATTTGCATTAAATACATAAATTTTATCGAACAAAATAGTATAATACTACAAAAAGGGAATAGCAGACAGCATAGCTGATATTAATTGCTATCCCTAATAAAGAAAAGAAAAATATTAAAATAATAAAATACAACGAATAAAGTGTGGCACAATCGAGACAAAAATATAAATACACATTTTATAAATGTAATATTACATTTTATTATAATATCTAATGGTTGTTTTGACTAAATATTTTCTGGCATCAAGAGATGTTTATACTTTTGCTTAAACATATTTGTCGAAAGATGTTTGAGTTTAGGAGGAACCAGGTTATATAGTTTAAATATCATATAAGAGAATGAACCTTGAAATTTGGAGGTACGATGGAGAGGTGGAGATATATGCCCTCTAAACCTTGTAAATGTAATTTTATTATAGAGATAAGGAGGCGACTTTAATGAAATGATCTTATGATACAATGTTACCATGTGTAAATTCCTTCTAGTTTCCATATTTAATCTCATACATATTCAATGGGATTCATTTCTAGTGAGTTTGGCGGCTATTCATTTTTTGGATATTTCCTTCCTATAGCACGTATTGTAGCCTTTGCATGCGATGTTGTCTGGCATTATTGTCTTGAAAAATTAAATAGTCCAAACTCGGTGCGCAAAAGCTAACTGATTGGTTAAATGATGTTTTCAGCGTATATCGTACATTTCATAGGTCTCTGAATTAAATGAAGTTGGGTGTGGCGACCAAACATTATACCCCCAAAACACTACTGATTCGCCTTGATAGAAAACAAGAACTCTTGCAAAATTAAATCATTCCTATAGGCCAAATCGAGACTAGTCCGAAAAAACACGTTACGCCATTGTGATAAAAGTCAGTTCATGTGTTCTTGAGCCCATTGGCGAAGTGTAGCTCTGTGTCGAGGTAAAAGCCTAAGCACTTTTAAAGGTCTTCTTGTCCTTCACTGCCCCTTCCTGGAAAATGCGCCTTACCGAAGTCCGTGGACTATTCAGATGACCAGCAATCTGGTTATTTAACAAACCCACTTAAAATAAGGTCACTATTATTGTCCGGTGAACCTGAGAAATCGGATAACCTGGCATTTTACCAGAAATTTACTTGATACTTTAATGCTCAATGTCAGTTTAGAACTGATTTCTCTTCAAAACGGGCTTATTTTCAAACGAAGACAATTTTTAGCTTACAAACTGCTATTTTTATGTACGATAAGATAATGAAGAATGTATACACAAAAAATAGTCACCTTACACTGAACGCGGTAAAAGTTACCAAGGGGGGCCAAGACTTTTGGAGATGTGTGTAATATTGTCTCTTTCTTAAAGGTAATTGGGCGATCATTAACGTATAAAAGAACTGGAATCTCTTTAGCAGTCGTGATCAACTCCTTTTCGATCAGAATTCCTCGCCAACCCCTTTATTTATTTATTTATTTACGGGCAAGCCCATTTGAGAAATAAATTACAATTTTAAAATTATAATTAAAATGTAGTGAAATATATATGGTGCTGAAATACAATCGTGGTATAATTCATAAAATAGGTTAAGAATTTAAAAGACAATAAGGTTGAATAAAATATTTACATTAAAATTAAAGATCAAAAATTAAAGCTCAGTACTAAGTAATTGCTTTATAAATTTATGAAAGGGGGTGTTAAATATCTCAAGATCGTTATGAGTGTTGGCTAATCTTAACATTCTTCGAATACAGCTGCTAAAAGTATGGTTTAAACGATAAAAAGGTACATAAAATGTTTGTTGCTGTCGAGTTGAGCGCGTTGGAACATAAAGATTTATTTTTGTTAGAAGTTCAGTCAGCTGCATTTGCCATTGATAATTTTGAAAAGTAATGTCAGGTCTCTCTGTTTCCTCCTAGTTTCCAAAGAGGGGATGTTTAGAAAATTCTTTATCAAATCATACTCGCAAAGGACCCCAATTTGTAGGCTATGTATCTAAGAAATTTATGTTGCACATTTTCTATGTTTCTGCTGTGCGTTATGTAAAGCCTTGGTTTCTTTGAACACTTCGTCGCGGTGAGCGGACAGTCCGTCAACCGTCGCGTTTTGACGATTTTATCCAACCAGAGTATTTAAATGGGAATGGTTTTCTTGAATCCGCTTAGCTGAGTAGGACGGCGTCATGCCGCTGATTTGTTGCGAAGAGTCGGTTAATATCTGTTGAGTTTGATATCAGCGGAATCGTCGGCGTGTGCGGAGACTATATTGTTATTAATAATTAATAATTAATTAATGAGTGACAAATTCACACATACAGATGACATCATGACTTTATTTTTAGGTTTCTTGGAAATTATGTCCTTTATAAAACTCAACACGAATTCAAAAAGATCTGTAGAAAGTCTAAAATACTCCCTAAATTTGGTTTCATTTCTAAAAAGCCTCCGCTGCACCTTCTGTATTGCGACACAAAAACAACTCATCCACTGGCTTATTGGAAACTGATGGTTGCAATTGCTAGTTCCTCTTGTTCTTCCTCTTCCAACAATAATAACAACGCAAACAATTTATTTGCATCCATTTTAGTACCTTTCGTTTACATTCATAATACATAAACAGCACGTACAGACATAGAGAAAGTATCATTTTCTATATTTTTTAACAAACCACCTCGGGCGAAAATTGCTGTCCTCAGCGGTCGACGGACTGTCCGCTCACCGCGACGGAGTGTTTAAAGAAACCAAGGCTTAATGTGGAGACCAGACAGAAGAGCAATAATCTAGGTGAGGTCGGACTAGTAAACAATAAAGGACTTTAATTGCAGTTGTGTCACTAAAATCATGTGTTAGTCTTTTGATAAAACCTAACATTTTCATGGATTTATGGATAGCCTTAGGTATGTGTTGATTGAAGCTTAAAGTGGGATCTAGAATAACTCCAAGATCTTTAATTTGATTAACACACTCCAAGATATGACCATTTAAGTTATAATCAAAAGTAGTAGTTGGTACATGGGATCGATAAAAGCGCATGACATGGCACTTTATAGCATTCAAATCCATGCCATTTAAAGCACACCAGTTTGATAGATTATCAAGGTCA